TGGCTGTGCATTTCAGATTTCCTGCTCTCTAGACCTTTCTATAGTTTTATCTAATCAGTTTCTCCTTTTGTTCAATCTGTATTTCCTTTGTTGGGAAATGACCTGGTGATCCCTTGAGAAGAGTTCTGGGGCTTCTAGTGGGAAACATCTGGAATCCTATTCCAAGAGTAAATATTAGAAGCAATCCGCTGGGCCACTAAAGGGCATGATTGGTTCCCACACTGTGCAGTGGGTCTATTGCTTCAAAATGATGTGTGAATGTGTAGATCTCATATTGAAGAAGTAGCTTGACAAAATGATGCCCCCTAAAAAGGGGTTTCATAATAATTTAATTAATGGTCATCTTCTTTTGCCTTTCCCATATTTTGATACTTGTTGATCATGTCTTCCTTAAATTCCTCTCTTCTTGGCCCAGGAATGAACCACTTACAAAAGTCACCCCCTTCCTTTATTCATTTGTGTTTGGTCCTTACCAAATGTAGAGGAGATTCTCAACTTCACAGCTTTATGACAATTACAGAATAATATAAGAGTAATATAAGCCCTCATCCTGAAATCAGGACTTCAAGCCATTTTACCATCTCTTTAAATCATGAATAAATATATACAGATAAATATATACAGCAAAATGGAAACGATATACAGAGAGATTCTGGTTTCAGCTCATTTTCTTCTCACTGGAAATCTGATAAGAAACCTCATCCTTTGTGACTAAGTAAATAAGTAGTATTTTTCTTTCTGGTTCAGTTAGTGATTATTCTTCTAAATTCTTTCTGCAGGTCCCTTTATATATTTTTATGTAATTTGTTGTTTGTTTCAATGTCTTTATTACTATTCCCAGATTATTCTCAAATTCTACATTCATTGATTGTTAAAAGTTATTCGAAAACTGAATCTGTTTCTGGTGTTTTCCAACATCATTTCTCTGGTACCAGTTGGGTGTCTTACAATTCAACTTAATTCTCATTCTACCTGAAGCTAGGACAGACCCTGTAATTTAAGGGACTCAGTATCTTAACACTCTGCCTCTATCTTGGCTGTCTGCTGTAAGTCCCTGCTGTCCACCATGCACCTTAACTCCTGTGCATTTGACCACATATTTGGAGGTCCTTACAACCACTGGAATGACTCACAGAACTCAGGAAAGCACTACAACTACAGTTGCACCTTTATTATTATAGAGGATACAACTCAGGAACAGTTCAAGGGAAGGGATGCATAGGATAAGATATGAGGGGTGAACGGAGAGTTCCCATGTGCTCTTAGGGCATGCCACTCCCCCCGCACATCAATGTCCACAACCTAATGTCCACCGACCCAGAAAGTTCCCAAACATCATTGTTCAGGAGTCTCTACTGAGATTTTCATTACATGAACATAATTATTTAAATCATTGACCATTGGTGATTGACCTCAAATGCCAGACCTCCTTTCTCTCTCCAAAGGAAGTCTAGGGACTCCATCAAGAGTCACCTTATAAACATAACAAAGACATTCTTATCATTTGGGAAAAGCCAAATTTTTTTAAGCTATTATGCCAGGAACAATAGGTGCAAAGACCAAATATATGTTTTTATCATAACAACTATTATTTCTTCCCCTCCTATATGGTTAGGACTCTGAAATGTCATTCATACAATTTATTGTTATTTGGTGGGGTAAGCAGAATTCTGGACCCCTAATATGCTTGATCCCTGGTGTACGCTCCATGATAAACACCTCCTCTTGAGTGTGTATTGTGGTTTTCACTCCTATGCTGAAGTTATATGATAGCACAAAGGTAAAGGGAATTTTGAGATGTATCAAAGGGAGATTATTCTGAGGATCAAGTGTGTTCCTAAAAGACAAACCAAAGCATTTGACTTCTCTTTGGATTTGGATGAGCCAAAGCATTTCCTGACATTGAATATGAAGGAAAAAGTGGAGACAGTGTATTTGGGTTCAGAGATTAGAAGGATGGAGATGCCATCAATTCAAGTAGAAAAAACTATGTCTGGAGATGTTTAGGGGGCAGGAGACTAATCAGAGCTCAGTTTGATGTATTGAATATGAGATGCTATTATGTCAAAGTTGCGTACATAGGTGGGTATAAAATCTGGAAGTGAGAGGAAGTTTGAGCTACAGACAAACTTTTGAAACTTGATTAACAAGTAAATTTTACATACCCTGGAAGAAAGGATAAAATCACCAGAGGGGTGAATAGACAAAAGGACTAGAAGGATTCAGCACTGAATCCCACCCCACAGGGGTGGGGGTTGGGGAGCAAGGTGGAGGGTAGTAGTGGACAGGGGGCACTTTGCTGGTACGAAAACTGTGGTGACAGTACCTAAGCACTGGGGCAGCCCAACATTAAGCAATCATGAGAGGAGAAAGATATGCAAAGGAGACTGAAAAGCAGTGGCTAGAGGATAGGAAGAAAAAGGACACTGATTTCCTGTAAGTCACATTGAGGAAATATTGAGGAAGATCATCTCTTTCAAATGTTGCTTAATAGGTCATGTAAATGAAGGCCAGAAATTAATCTTACTAGACTTAGTGTCATTATCAGGAAATATCCTTACTTTATGGAAAGATAACCTGGGGTGCTGAGAATCAAATAATTGTAAAAGAGTCAGTCTTGGAGACAATAGAATTGAATTGAAGCCAAACATTCTCTGCTGAAAATTTTTTCATAACAATAACACTTCATTGTACATAAAATGTAATGTTTTTAATCTTTCTAATCCAAAAAAGGTCATAATTTCCATTAATTTATCTAGATATTTTGCAAAACTTTGAGATGTCCAGCATTAGCCTTGATGTCACTAACAATATCCAACACATTTACTATAAAAGTCAATAAAGAATGTTTATTGAAAAAAGAGAATATGAATTTACCCCTTAATATAAGAACATGGATGTCATTGGTGACTCCTAAGAACCAATTGTTTAATGACTGGTAGGTGAAAGCCAGGAGAAAGATAAATACCGAGATGGTTTCACTTACATGTGGAATCTAGAGAAACCAAACAATGGCTCAGACAAATTAAAAGACAGACTGACCCTTGAAAGCAGAGGGTAGATCTGAGACACTCAGGTGGGGAAGGAGAGGGGAGAGTAGAGAACAGGGGTGGGGGCTGGGGAGCAAGGCAGAGGGTAGTTGTGGACAGGGGGCACTTTGCTGGTAGGAAAACTGTGGTGACAGCACCTGAGGGGAGCAACCCTATGTTGTGAAAAATTAAACATGGATGTTTAAAAACATTTTTAAAAAAGCTTATTGGAGTGACTTTAAGAAAGAATGGGAGAAGAAAAATTGGAGAAAAGCTGTATAGTTGTTTCAAAGAATTTTGTTTATGGAGCAGGAGCTGTTAGGGAGAGCAGACTAAGAAAGTTTTCTTTCTTTTTTCTTTCAAGATGGGAAAAATAATGATTTATTTGTATGTGCACTGAAATAATTGTGTGGCAAGGAATTAGGATGATGTCAGAGATGATGTGGAGAATTGTCCCAGCTCTGTCTTTGAGTCCTAAGAGTAGATGGAATCTCATATACAAACGGAAGCCAAGAATGTGGATGCTCACTGAGGTGAGAAGGCAGATTCTGGGAGAAGGGAAAATGTGGTGATGGAAACTTAAAGAACGTCCTTTCTGATTGCTTTTTAAAAACACTGGAGTCATCAGTGGAGAAGGAAGGTGGTTTAGGAGACACTGGGGTTTCCAAATTAAAAAGGTGTGAAATAGTCATCTCAAAGAGTGAATAAGTGAATGAAAAAGTGATATATTACATATTGAGGTGTATCATTTTTTAATATAATCTCTGATATGAGATGACACATAATGTAATGTATAATATGATCACATATGATATGCTTGTCTGGCAGAATTAAGGAACCATGCGAAGCTTATGAATTAATAGACCCATCAAAGTGATTGTATATTTTACTCCAGCCACATCCAACTGTGTAAGTCAAGGGACAGTATAGCAGGAGAGTTGGCTTTAACCAGGGTAGAGGTTTTGTTGGAGAGTATATCAAAGCAAGGACTGCAAAACAAAAGATTGAGGTGATTTACAGCAGAGTGGTAGGTGAGGGAGTTTCTAGTAAATAAGGAGAGGAGTGGATACTATAAGAGTGCAAAGTCATCAAAAGGCTGTAGGCTCTCCATTATTAGAAGTTCTGATTGGGCTGAAAAATCACTGGGTCAGAATATTAGAAAGAAAGAACTGGAAAGAATGGAGATGATCAACAGAGTAAAGGGCACAAAAGTGGAATTATGGAGAGATTTTGTTACTAGTGATCATAGGATCTGGAATGTGAACACAGGAGAGAGGAGGAGTTAGGGTGACATACAATCATGGGGAAAAGAAACCCAAAGTATTATAGATCCTGGAGGGTCTTTGTCTGGCTTTTAATCCCCCATGAATTTTGAGGTGATAAGCAAGGACTATTTATCGTGGCTCTCATAATGGGAGAGCGTTGGCAGCTTCCCTGGGCCATGCTCTCCTCCTGAGAGTGGTGGGCGGTGGGTTTCCTGCTTCTGTAGGGTTGGTTAGCAGTGCAGGTAGAAGGGAGTGTGTTTTGGGCTGGTCTACACAGGGAGTGCACAGAGGTTTGTGAAATGTAGGTCACTTTTAGGACAGTATTCTGCCCTCAGGTTTCAGCTGGTTCTGGAGCCACTGATGGAAGACAGAGGTCTGCAAAGCAGAGGGTCTGTATCTCACTGGTGAGTGACTGAATTCCTATTAGCTTAGAAGCCCAAAACAGTGAAGGTTAGCCAAGCCAGGGCTCTTATAACAAAAGCATTGAGAGGTCCAGTTACTGGAAGGTTATGTACTCATTTTTAAAAAAAGAAAAAGCAGAGTAAGTAGTAGAGTGAATGAATGAATGAATGAGTGAGTGAGTGAGTGAGTGAGAGCCAGGAACTGAAATGTTTAGAAATGGGGAGAGATAAGCTTCGTGTGTGCACATGGGGTGACTGCCATTTGATGACACCATAATGAAGCATAAGGTAACAGACAGCTGAGATTTAAAGCTGGGGACCTTTCTTAGAAGAGGGAGGGGAAAGTGTTATGAGAGTAGCAAGGAAGAACATGGAGATCCTTTATCCAGGTAAGGGCCCAGTAGAATTTGAGCTGTGTCAAAAAACCATCAGCACTGTTTGAGAGGCTGCAGGGGAAGCAGGGTCCCTCAGGAAAGAACTAGGTTCTAGTTAGAGTAAGAATATGCAGAGAATGCCCAGAAAATAGCTTCTGATTACTAGTTAGGTTTCCTAGTGACCTTCCCTACAGTATCCAAGTAGAAAGGCCAGCATAATCTATGCATTTAGAAGGCTATCATCCAAAAAATTGGATATTTTATTTGCTATTTTGTTTGTATCCATAATACTAGATACAAGAAAATATTTATCCTTGGATATTTTCTTCTTACACATTCTGACTGAAATGGACCATGGAAATGCTGTTTATTTAGTTAAGATTTTGACTGTGCAAATGATCTTTAACTACTTAATTGGCTTTGATAGAACAAAAGTAGGAAAAGCAATCTGCATGCTGGGCTGTGACTTTATAGGCTTATGTATTTGGGAGCTATTCGTAGGGTAGAAAACTAAATCATGTAGATTACTTATTATTATCAAGGTCAGGAATAGAAATTCTGAAGGTGTAATGGTCTGGTAACCTAGGAGAGTTTCTTGAGCTATTCAAAATAGTTAACAAGTTATACAAAACAAAAGGAGAGTAGCCTTGTAAATTGTGAAATTTTGTTTATTTTCATTAATTTCCTTTGTGTAATAAAATGCCTTTCATTTTGTTAGCCAGTATTTAAAGTTTTAGCTTTCTTCCAATTGATATGCCAAGGGCAATAAATTATACACAGTGCTGCTAAAAACAAGCTGATTTAAGGGGAAAAAGTAATAATTATCAAAGACCAGAATTACAGTCAACATTAAAACAGATAATGTTGGCCCACAACTCTTGCCTGCCTGTTACTATCACAATGACAATTGGTACTTATATGCTACAAAACATGCCCCAAATTGTTGGCTCTCCTGTGCCAAGAACCTGGAGGAAAGTACAGTGCTAGAATAAACCATACTACTTCCCATCCCTTCCCATCCACTTCCCATCCACTATAATCTAGGGTTCTCATTGTATATAATTTCTTTCATTTTCCTCAAACTTGAACATACCAATCTTTTATCTGTCCCCTAGCTAGAATATGCTCTAATTCCATTTATCAATATCCATGACATAGTAATTCCTGCAAAGTTCTTTTTCATGTTTTCATTCTGTGGAAGTGAAGTGGAGGAATTAGAAGTCAATTGTTTTGGGGACATTGGATAGTCTAAACCTAATCAACTATTTATTTTGTATGTTGTCTTTTTTGTTTCTCTGCATAAAAGGTGGCAGATAACATCTTCTTTGATATATAGCATTTACTCATCTAAGTAGAGCCAGCTGAAAATATTTTGATTTCCTCCTAACTTGGGGCACTTTTATAGGTTCCATTGTGATTAGGGTATAGTTGGGTAGCTAGAGATGGGTCCTTTGCCCTTTCTGTATTTGCTGGGAGGATATATACACATTTTTTGCTCATTGTATTCTGAAAATGTAAATACATATGACTGTAAATGGTATTCTTGGGGCCAAAGACTTGAGAGAACTTTCTCTATTTGGAAAAATTTATAGTGAAATACTGTGATGCCAATAGCCTACAAAGAGAACCTATGGGCACCATGAAGAGAATTACCAAGTTCTCCCTCTTCTCACCCCTTACTTTCTCTCTCTTGCATTGTCAGGGAGTAGACTAGTATTGTACTTGGAGGAAAAGGACTTTACGTTGGTGTACCTCAGGAAAAATTTTCTTCTGTTTGTTGAATTTGATATGCCATAGTGTTTGGCCTCATGTTTTCAGTGGGAATTGTGAGGTAGTAAAGAATTGTTTGAACTCTTGATGTCCATTCAGTAAACAGTTAGGGGAATCTTCATTTGGCTATGCAGGCATGATGAGGAGATTACAATAATGAATGTAGTAGTCAGGTTGACACATTACAGGTTAATGGAATTTTAGTAACTCTGAGATTGAACAATAATAACCACATACCAAAGCTACTTCCAAGGTCAGCTGCAAGGGCTCACTTAAGAACAAGACTGTGAAAATTCTAAATATAAAATTTGAAATTCTAATTTCTGGAAGGCTCTGAAATGAAACTTGGTTGCCTTTTTGATGAAAATCTTTATATACATAGAATGCTTAGAAAGCATTTCCACTGCTGTTTGAAACATACAATAGTTGTCTTTTCCTTAGTGACTTTAGTGTCCATAACAGAATCTTTATTTGATTGTCACTCAGTGTCTCAAGGTCATCATTCCAAGCATTATTCTTCACTGGGGATACTACAGATGTGTAGTTTATCATCCTTTCAAAGAGCACATCTTCTATTTCATTTGATTGTCAATGAAGTTAAGATGGCTCCAGTAATAGTTATAAATGTGGGATATTGCATGAAATATAGCCCCATTCTTTACCTTCCTCTCTCCAATCCTCTTTGGAAAAACAAATGACATCAAATTATTTTCTCATCATATGTACCAAGCACATGAATAACTAAGGCCTTGTTTATAATTTTAATGTACATTTCTGTAATGCTTTTTCTACTGATAAGGAGCAGATTTAACTACAGATAGGGACTCTAAGAAGGAAAGTTTAGGAGATATAAGAAATTTAATGAAATATAATAACTTTTTGCTTGTTAATGTAACTTTATATTATTTCCCACAAAGAACAGTCAAATGAAACATGAGATTTTGGTAAATCCCTTTAGTTCTCCAAAATTAACCTTGGGATAAAGAGCTATAAAGTATGTAAATGAGCCTAACATTGTAATTGAACCAAAGTATTCTCCACTTATTTTTATTTGAAGATTTAATTAACCATCTTTTAAAATGTTTTTAAATACACCAAAATATGACACATTAAGAATTGCTGTAGAGATTATAGAACCCTCTGACTTCATAAAGATTATTTTTTTTCAGTATCTCCTATATGTCTACTACTGATTTAGGCACTATGAGAATTATACAAAAATTTAAACCATGATCTTTACTCCAGTGTGCATCTTGTTGAGATGTAACATAAACATAATTGAAATAGGCTCATTTCAATTAATGATTAGAAATACCCTTGTTCTCTAAGCATTCTCTTTATGTAAGGCTTTTCATCAAAATGTCAACCCAGTTGGGTTTCAGAATCTTCCAGAGATTAGTATTCCACCTGCATAACATATACATACATATTACATGTGTGTAATATAACATCTACATTAAGCAGAGTATCTATGTCTACAGATGCTGAAGGTTTCCTACCACTAGTTGGTCTGGGATGGGCCCTGAGAATCTGTATTCATAAAACATTCCCCAGTCAAAAAAAGCTGATTTGTGGACCAGACTTTGAGCTGAAAGGGTACAGATCAATGTTGTCTAATAAAAATATTATTTGAGTTAGAAATGTGAGCTATATTTACCATTGTAACAAATATATAAGTCTAAATTTTCTAGTGATAATACTGAAAAAGTTAAAAAAGGTAAAATCATTTTTAATGTTATTTGTATTTTAATGTGATAGATAAAAATTATCATTTCAACATTTAATCCAAACTATCAATACATTTTATATAGTTGTGCATCATTTAGCATTTCAGTAAATGACAGACTACATATACAATGATGGTTTCAATAAGTGATACCATATAGTGTAGGTGTGTGTTAGGCTATTTTATCTAGGTTTGCATATTTACACTCTGTGGCATTTACACAAATGATGAAAATTCCTAAGGATGCATTTTTCAGTGTATATCCTTGTGGCTCAGCAATGTATGACTGCATATAAAAATTATTGCTATCACTTTACTTACAATTTTTTGTTTTAAAACTTCAAAATCCAAAAATGTTTCTATATCTCACACCCCAAAATATATTTTACACTTATAGAATATCCAAATTCAAACTAGCCACATTTCGAGCATGGATATAAGACATGAAACCATAAAATATATGAAAGGAAACATGGGTGATTTACTCCTGGACATAAACAACAGAGATGTATTTGAGGACTCATCTCCAATGGCAAAGGAAACAAAAGCAAAAAATAAACAAATGGGATTACATCAAATTAAAAAGTTTTTTACCTCAAAAGGATCCACCACAAATATAAATGGCAATCTATTGACAGGAAGAAGATACTTAAACATCACAAGTCTGACAAGTTTTAATTTCCAAAATATTCACAGAACTCATACAACTCAACAACAACAAAAAAACAAACACCCCAACCAAAAAATGAATGAAAGACCTAAACAGACATTTCCCCATAGTAGATATTTAGATGGCCACCAAGTCATGGAAATAGTCTAAATACTCATTGACAGACAACTGGTTAAAGACATTGTGGAGTGTATACTCAGTGGAATACTACTGAGTTATTAAAAATGATGAAATAAGTTCATCAGCAACATGGCGGCGAGGAGACGCTGCGAGTAAGATCTCCCATTAAAAAAAGTTAATAGGGAGGAAAAGCGGCAGGTCCAGTGAGAACTGAGACAGGGAAGATAAACGGACGACTCCAGCAAACTGCCCGAAGAAGAAAGTTGCCATAAAAGAGGACGAGAAGGGAGGGAAGCGCAGAACCCTGCTCCCCTCCCCCGCCCACAGAGGCGGCACTCTCCGACCGGCAGAGACGAGGGAAACAACAAACCAAAACGCCCAACAAGAAAAATGGATGCAGCAAGTGGGACTGTGAGTGGAAAGGAACTATTTCAGCCACCACACCCGTGAACGGGAGCTGAGGCGAACCCTGCAGGATCCGCCGCGGAGGTGAGCTCCAGGCGCAGTAAAGAGAGCCCGCCCACCAGGAGGCCCAGCACCAGCACACAGCCCGGCAGCCCGGTAAGCTTGCGCGAAAGCGGCGCTAGGATTGCAGCTGCCCAGGGCCCTGCGCCTGCGACCTAGGCTTGCGGGGAGACGGCGGAGGCCCTCCCTGAGTGAGCAGGAACAAGGTGCCCAGGCAGGGGAGCGGGATTCAAAAGGCGCCATTCCCGCGCCACTGATCTGGGC